CATACTCCCGGATAGGTTTTTTGATGCCATTACAGAAAGACGAGAAAATAAAATGAAATTTAACTTTCAGAACGGTTTTAGCGGTCATGCACTCGCGTAGCGTTGCTCACTCCATTTGTAAAAAAAATTATTTTTCACATGACACAATAACTTGTCTCTGACAATATTGGATACTATAATATTTATTATAAACAATACCCTGATGATGACATGGTCATGTCGAAAGTACTTTGTAACAAAACAAATATATATCTCTGGGCCCAGGATTCTGCACAATGCCACACAAGCAGGAGAACCCAGTCATGGCTGTCAGATAAGTTTTTCGTCCACATCACCCCTTACATCTGGCCACCTAACTCCGCAGACAGCAACTCTCTTGATAATTATGTGTGGAGTGCAGTTGAGCGAGAGACCAACAAAACTCCTTGAAACACCAAAGATGAACTGAAAATAAGGATTATGGCAGCATTCGCCAGAGTAAACAAGGAGACAGCCCAGAAAGAGTTGCAGGTTATTCTGAAATCTGCTGGAGGCTGTGGTTGAAGCCAATGACGATTTTATTGAATAGATTTACTCCTGAGTATTTCAAAATATTTTTGTGTAAATTTTGGTAAATATATCTGCTATAATGCGTGCTAAAATGTCAATGTTATTTGCATTTTTGCGTAATTTCGACGACAATTTATCCATCGCACCCTATATATTAACACTAACTACTTTCAACCTTAATACTTCATTGTATTGCTGATAATATATTAATAATGCTTTTTTGCGATGTTAGACAATAATAATTACTTTTTGAGTCTAAATTTAAAATGTGTAAAAAAACATTCTTATCCTGTGCAGATGCATCAATTCATATATATATATATATATATATATATATATATATATATAGATAGATAGATAGATAGATAGATAGATAGATAATATTAAAAAATATACATACATATGCAAAATATATAAATACCCATACATGTATATTTTTTTTAGAAAAAAATTCAAGAGGAAGAATCCAGGTAGAACTCAATGTCTAGGACAGAGTAAGGATATAATAAAAAAAGTTTAAACACTAATATTCCATGGTATGACCATGGAATATTAGTTTAAGTGTTTTTAATATATTTATATATATATATATATATATATATATATATATATATATATTTATATATATACTCTATCTACCCTTTTTCTCAATTTTCTCTTCTTCTCTCAGTCATTTGGGGTCTTCGGTGATTGGGAGGGCAGCAAAGTTAATTAAGGAATTGTTAATCGGAGTGCCGAGTTCGAATTCCGGTTGGGTTCGTTATATTCAATTCGCAGATACTTTTGGAAAAGATGTATTCTCTATTTCTCTCTAGGAGGCATGGTTCTAGAGAAGGATGCTAAGGATATCTTGGGCCGAGCGTTTGAGCAACGATGAGGTTTTGGAGATGATACAAACAAGGGGGAAGCTCATATTTAACAGCTGAAATTTCTGGGACACCTAATGAGAACGGAAGGCTTGGAGAATCTGATACTCACAGGTCAAATAAAGGAATAGACAGAGAAGGAAAAGCAATGCATGACATACCTAACGGCCTGAATCAAGTGTTTGGCAGAACAGGGTCTATAAGAAATAAAAAAAAAACACAAAATTTATTAACAACTACAAGGGTCAGGAAGTTGTGGAGAGCCATAATTGCTTATGTCCTGAGAAGAGACGGCACATAAAGACGAAGAATTATAATATATTTTACAGGTTTCCAAATAAGAATTTTATAAATAAAAAGGAAGATATATATCTGAAGTTAAAAGAATTTTGATTATGGGTAAGGAAGAGACAGCTGAGATTTCTGGGATACGTAATGAGAAAGGAGGGTCTGGAGAATCTGATACTCACGGGTCGAATAGAGGGAAAGAGAGACAAGGGAAAGCAACACATAATATACCAGGCGGGTTTAAGTACGTTGATGACAGAACGCGGACATGCGGAGGTGACAGAGGGACGAATCTTATTATGAGCTACAAGGCATAAGAGAATATGGAGAGCCATGATCGCCTACATCCTGAAGGGACGGCACATAAAAAGAAAAGAAGGTCCAAACCATAGTCGGAATGACTTAAGCTTCTCCAAGCAGATAGTACTTGATTCGTTCAGACTTTTTTCTTGTGTCATTGAGATGTTCATCGTTAGTATAACAGAATGTGGATGGTTGACCAAAAATACATTCTCGTATAAATTGAAAGAAACGTTAAAGTATTCAATTCATTGCATTTGCTTCAGTTAGGTCTCACGAGAATCTTGAAGAAAGAATTCATAGACAGATCCATTTAGAGTCAACAATTAGTGATAGTTGCTTAGTTAATAGCATTCATTAAATAGATCACAAAGCGACTTTACCGAAAAAATCATTTTGTGTCACTGGATCATCCATTTATCCAAATATAAAGAATCGGAAAAAAAGATCACTGCTGTTATAAATGTATTTAAGAGATAAAAATGCATATTAAGAACTACCACCATCGATGCGCAATCACAATCATATTCAAAATGTATATTTTTGCGCATGCGTATCTTACATTTATTCTGGACATTAACACAGGCATCCATATTGACGTCGAAAAAAGATCTTCGTCGCCGACCATAAAATCGGAACTAAGCCACAGTTATATTCTTTTAAACTGTGAAATTTATATGCATAATTGAATCTGGAAAAAATCTTTTCAGGACAAAAAAAAAGCCTCAATTAACCATTATTCTCTTGTCTCGCGCCTGTGTCTTATAGTAGAGAATTTCGACACCCCGTGTAGCAAACAAAAAAAGTGTTCGATAGGCTTTTGAATCAAGTGAAGTGATTATGAAATTAATCAGCAAATTAATTGACATTTCAAATTTCACTCTTAGGAGTAAAGTATTATGACAGGTAGCCGTAGAATTTTCCCAGACAAAATTCACCATTATTTCCGACGACACAATCAAAAAGCTATCAGAAAAACAGACGCCTTTATGAATAAAAATTTTAATCAACCATAATGAAAAGACACCTGATTTAGGTAAAGACAACAACAGACAGCACAATCCTCCACCAGTTCACCGCTTCCCCTTATTCTGATATATTTTTTTTCTTTCTTCTGTCTTGTCAGCCTCCCTATTTCTCATAAATATTCCTCTCGTGACGCTAGTTTTTATTCTGTTCTCTTATCGTTCATTTTTTTCCCTCATTCCGATAAAATTTTTACCCATTTTGTTTCTTCCTGTCCTTTTCTTTCACTCTTGAACGGTTAAATTTTAGAGGATGGTGACTTCTTCTTCTTCTTCTTCTTCTTCTTCTTCTTCTTCTTCTTCTTCTTCTTCTTCTTCTTCTTCTTCTCCACCGTCTTCTTCTTCTTCTTCTCCTCAACCTTCTTCTTCTTCTCCACCGTCTTCTCCACCGTCTTCTTCTTCTTCTTCTTCTTCTTCTTCTCCTCCTCCACCTTCTTCTTCTTCTTCTTCTTCTTCTTCTTCTTCTTCTTCTTCTTCTTCTTCTCCGCCGCCTCCACCACCTTCTTCTTCTTCTTCTTCTTCTTCTTCTTCTTCTTCTTCTTCTTCTTCTCCACCTCCTCCACCGCCGCCTTCTTTTTCTTCTTCTTCTCTAAATCTACAACGATACCTATTTGCCTATTTTAATTTCACCTTTTCTTATCCGTTTTCCTTGATCGCCCATTTTTTTTCCTTTCCCTTTCCCGTGTTTTTCCCGCTTGATTCTTTTTCTACTTCTTCTCCAAAATGTCTTACTTTTCATTATACGTTGTCTATAAAAGCTTATTTATGTTTTATTATCATTACGTTTAGCTGTCTTTGAAAGTAAGCTGTCACTTCATCATCGCAGGTGGGTTTCTCAGTCCATACTATCAACCAGTACTGGTTAAGTAAGAATATTATTTGATGACAAGAGATGTATTAAAGAAGTGACAAAAAGAAGACTAACATCTTATATTAAGTCTGAAGTCAATACAGGAAAGAACCAAAAGGTAAGACTGATATGTGATGATAAACAGATAAGTTAAAAGAAGAGACAGAAAGATGGTTAGCATCAGATATTAGCCAGGACGTCAACAAAAGGAAAGACATTAAAGTAAGAAAAGCTATTTGGTGATAAAGAGTTACGACTGAAAAAAGGAAAGGGGAAAATGCTAATATCAGATTTTGGCCAGGAACACAACATATGATAAAAGTTCTCCTTCGACGTCTGACACTTTCAAGAATTTCTTAGTATTCAATCATGAAAGGCGAATTCGATATATGCCTTCTATGGACTACACGCTCATCGTTGGTAAATTCTTCAATCCTTGTTTCTAAAAGGAAAAATATCTTTTTTTTTCAAATATCACAAGAATTTTAAATTTTCGTGCATTCATTTTGCTGCATATTTATTCAGTGGAACAAATTAAAATAAAAGCAATTTACAATAATATATCTTTCTCTCTATTTCTCTCTCTCTCTCTCTCTTATATTCTACTCCTTCTTTTCTTTCTCTGTTTCTATCTCACCCCCTCTCTCTCTTTGTCTCTCTCTCTTTCTCTTCCTGCTTTTTCTTAGTCATTCTTCAATCTCATATTATCTTCCTGTTATCCACTTGTACTACACTTTCTCTAAACATACGGCCATATCATACTGAAACATTGGTTCCCCATACGATCGCTTAAGTTAACCAACTTTGAGGCCGGTCAGTATCTAGTGGGGTGACCGCTTGGGAATATCAGATGCAGTGAACGTGTATGTGCGGGTGGTGTAATGGATAATGGCTCGGAATTGTTAATCAGAGAACCGAGTTCGAATTCCCTTTGGATTCGTTATATTCACTTCGCAGATAATCTTGGGAAGGGTATTAATCCACGTCTTCATTCATTAAAAGTACTTGTGTCATTAAATCATTTGTTTCATTCTTACATTCTAAAAAGTATTATGCCTTTAAATAACATGTAAAGGGTTGATAAGCCGTAAAAAATGAATGGATAATTAATAATCTTTCTCAATGTCTCTTTCCGTTACTTTTCTCAAAACTCTTTCCGATTCTTTCGATCTCTCGTTTATTGCAATTTTTTCCAACATCTCTCTCTTCTCTACATTTTCATCGCTCATTCTGAAATCTCGTAATTTATTTCTCTCACTTACCTACTATCACTCTTTCTCTTCGTCTATTTCTCTCTCTCTCTCTCTCTCTCTCGCTATCTCTCTCCCCCTCTTTCACCGTTTTCTGCTACGATTCTCTGATCTCATATCTTCCCCCTCACTATATAATTTTTCTGTACTCCTCTCTGTCTCTCTCTCTCTCTCTCTCTCTCTCTCCCATACTTGTTTTTTTTTCTTTTTCCTTTCTTCTTCTTCTCTTCGTCTCTCTCTTTCTCTCTCTCTCTCTCTCTATCTATCTATCTATCTATCTCTTATTAGTCCTTTTTAATCATTCTCCCTATTTTTATTTTTATTTTTATTTTTCTCTTTCACGTTCTCTATTACTCTTCGCATTCAACCAGAAATCTCTCTTTCTCCCTCTCTCCATTTTCTTACACTTCTCCCTCTCTACTACTCTCTCCTTTTCTCTCTTTCGCTTTTACTTTTTGTTTTCAAGTCATTTTTTTTATTTACCTTCCTCGTTTCATTTATTTTCCATTTTTTTTTTTCTCTTTCTCACTGCCAGTTACAATATGGCGTGTTTCAAATTTCAAATTTTAAAATCATTTTTTTTTCTCACTGAAAAATATTTAACAACATAGTATCGATTATTCTCTGAAACTAAGATCCGTTGGGTCGGGGACTTCAAAAAGCTACTCTTCATCAAATTGTATTCTAATGGTACACTCACTGATAGATTTTACTACATTAGGCGGGTGCAAAATGTCCCGATCTTTTTTCTTTGACTAAATATTTTATTCATATAAACATTATCCGCATTCAAATTATTTATCCGTTTGCGCTGACATTACATTAACTGTCAACCAAATTGGGTATTACCGCGTAGAAACCATTTTCGGATTGTATTATTTAAAATAAACTTTTGCAACGCACACAGTTGATACTCTGGAATAGATATCACATGTGATAGAGCCACCTACAGCAGTTTCTTTCATCATCCTATTTTTTTAACATGATGTTGGATTTTTTATGCAAAAAATATCTAACGATTTCCCTAACCAGAGAAATGCTTCTCTGTCCAAAACGGCATATCGAAGGTAACTGTTTTGTGTAGACTTCTTTTGCGGTGGACCAAAATGTACAACAAAAACTTAAAAACAAAAATATTTGGCTCACTCATTAACAACTTCCTGCAAAGTAATATAATATACCAAACCACTATAAAACGGTAAATAACTAAGATAATAGGACTAATAGAAACTATGTACACAAAACATACTTTTACAACGGATTGATTGGTACATTGGTATTATTGGTACATTTATTATTGATATATTTGTATAATCAATACAATACATTTTGTGCGCACGGTTTGTTTATCATTACTGTACACTTATGTGTCCCATATATATATATATATATATATATATATATATATATATATATATATATACTTAGAGAGAGATAGGCAGTATAAACATAAGATTCAACACTTCAAAGTGATTGTGAGTTGTGCTTCAGTAAATATCTTTGACTATATACTCTCTCTTCTGGTATTTTATTTTCTCCAAGAAATATAGCACATTATAAACCAAATAGATAGATAGATAGATAGATAGATAGATAGATATTTTTAATAGGTATCACCCCATGCAAGGCAATAAAGCCACAGAGACACAAAGGGTTACAGGGTGTGGTAAGAATTAAGAAGACAAAACATGAATAATGAGTGGAAAGAGAAAAGTGTAATCAGAAATATGGTAGATAGCGATTGATATTTTATTTAAACTTTTGCAGATTAAAGTTGACTGGAAAGCATGGATGGGAGTTCCACAAGGGAGAGAAGTGCGAGAAAATAAACTGTTAGCATAGAATTTACGGTTACGTCTCGCCAGCTCAGTTGTAAATTGATGAGATCCCGACGTCAGTCTAGAACTGCGTTTAAAATAAAAACATCGAGGGACCATAGAAAAAAGTTCATAGGAACAATTAGCATGAAAATATTTGTAGAAAAGATGTATGATTTCATCGACAGTAACACTTTTGTCGAACAAGTAGAGCATTCTTTAAATATAAACAGATGTTCTCTTTGATAAGTTTATGTGGAGGTCATTTTTTAGGACGTGTCCTGAAGGCATATAAGCGACGTTCTAGAGGTGACTGATTATGCAAACAAAAAAAAAAGGTTTGTTACTGAGTAAAACTCTTCCAAAATGAGGCTCTTAAAATCGGTATATTGAACACGTTAAAATAATTCTACTTTCTTCTCTTATGTGTTTTGACGTAGGGATCATGGCTCTCCACATCTTCCTGTCCTTTGTAGCACTTAATAAACTTTGTCTTTTGGTTATTTTTTTAAAATCTTATTCTACCATCCATTTGTTCAAGTTCATAAAGTATGTTTAGTGCTGCTTTCCTCTGTCATTCTTACCGTCTATCCGACCTGTGAGCATCAAGTTTTCTCTGTCGCCCTTCCTCATGATGTGCCCCAGGAATTTCAACTGCCTCTATTTGGTGTTAAGTATAAGTTCAATTTTCGTTTCCATTTTTTCCAAACCGTCGCCGGTGCTCACATGTTCGGTCCATGGCATAGTTAGAATCCTTCTGTAAACCACATTTCTGTTGCTTCAAGTCTCTTTTTTATATTTGAGGAGATTTTCCAGCATTCGCTACCGTATAGGAAAGCAGATATTACGTAACAATTCAATACTCTTTTCTTTGGTTATAACGAATATTTTCTGTCTCTTAATCGTCTGCTTAGGTTACGATTTGCTTAAAAATTAAATTCAAATATGAAAGACTTTACGTATCTGCTTCATTCATATTTTATCTTTATAGTTTTATTTTTTTTAATGCACTTTTCTGTTTCCGCCTTCTTCTTCGTCTTCGTTTTCTTCTTCGTCTTCTTTGTTGTCTTCGTCGTCTCCGTTGTCTTCTTCCTCGTCTTTTTCTTCACTTTCTTTTTCGTCTGCGTCTTCTTCGTCTTCGCCTTCTTTTTCGTCTTCTAATACGAAAGACTTTTGTAAGTGTCACGTCTTAGCTTCTGACATATCTTGTCTTTCTCGTTTTATTTTTTTAATGCACTTTTCTTCTTTGTTTTCGTCTTCTTCATCTTCGTCTTTTTCGTCCTTTTCTTCGTCGTCGTTGTCTTCGTTGTCTTCTTCTCCTTTTATTCGCCTTATTCTTCTTCGTCTTCGCCTTCATTCCCGTCTTCGTCTTCTTCCTTTTCTTTTTTTCTTCGTCTTCTTTTTCGTCTTCTTCCTTTTCTTTTTCTCTGTCTTCATTTCCGTCTTCGTCTTCTTTTTCGTCTTCTTCCTTTTCTTTTTCTTTGCCTTCATTTCCGTCTTCGTCTTCTTTTTCGTCTTCCTCCTTTTCTTTTTCTTTGCCTTCATTTCCGTCTTCGTCTTCTTTTTCTTATTCTTCCTCATCTTCCAATACTACTTCTCCTACTACTACTACTACTAGTACTGTCTCTTATTTATATTTTTTCTCCTCTCTTCCGATAACTTTCTTCTTTATCCCCACTCTCTTATTAAATACTTTCTTATTCTTTCTTTCCAAGTTACTCCCATTGCCCGTCCATATCTCTCTATCCCTTTATTTCTAACCTCTATGCTTCCCAATATTTAAATCTTATTTTTTCTCTCTCTATTTCCTTCCCTTCGCTTATTTTATATACGAAAATCCCTCATTGTCGAATCAAGCCTATTCTCCATCTATGAGGAAATTATCCAACACTTTCTGCCCAGCTCGCTATTCATTTTTTTCTTTGAATTGTTTAAGGTTATGAGGAAAGATAATATTTTAATATTACATCCCCTTCTTGTTACATGTAGTAATCTATATTAATGTTGATTTTCTTGGAAGTGTTCAAGCAATGTGTTTTGTTTTACTTGCTCTGTGTAATATTGTAACGCCATTCTGATGAAAGCTAGTTTGCATCAACATTTAAAGGATCCATTCACTTTAAGTCGTTTTTAATAACTGATAAAAGAAAACAGCTTGATATAGATTATACTATAGACATAGCGCAAAAAAGAAGAAGGATAACAGTTATCAAAATTTCTTGTCAAACTATTAACTGTTATATATATATATATATATATATATATATATATATATATATATATATATATATATATATATATATATATATATATAAGTGAACATAGAAGACAACACTTCGAGGCGACAGTCAGTCTCATGCTAGGTGGCCTGACGATTGCATACATCATGAAACAGACTGACGCATCTAAGTGTTGACTTCTATGTTCACTTTTATATTTACACACCCTCTATCTCTGATATTGAGCACTTTATCCCATAAATATAGCAAATCTTAAGACTATATTTCTCTCTCTCTGTCTCTGTCTCTGTCTCTCTGTCTCTGTCTCTCTCTCTCTCTCTCTCTCTCTATATATATATATATATATATATATATATATATATATATATAAGTTGACATTGGTGTCAACACCCAGCGAGGACCGCCTATTTCCCGCACAAACGCCATCTTCACTTTGCGTGTTGGTCTGTTCCTTTTTCTAACAACCATTCATTCAGTCTTCTAGTAAATTGTGTTTAGTCCTTTCTTCTCTCTTTCTTTTACTGCCTTCTTTAGAAAATCCTGTAGTTTCCTTACTGTATCTACTATCAACGCTATGTCATCTGCCGATCTTTTGTTGTTAAGAGTTTGGCCGCTAATAACGAATTCTGGTAGGTCGTCTAATTCTCTCTCGCTGTATAGTTTGAAAAGATCTGGTGAGAAGAGGCTTCCTTGTCTTACACTATTTTTTATCTTTGTGTCGTCCCTTGGTAGAAGCAAAAGAGATATAATGAGGAATTATTTTCAAAGGTCCGCCAGTGACTTGCCACCACAACGTGGTGACGTTAATATATTGAAGCCAGGTTTACCAAGAAATCTGAGATTGTAGAAGTCTTTTCCACATTCTATCGCCGCCCCGACACTGACGGTCTTTATTCGTTATTTATTTTTTATTCAAATTTAGGCAAAAAATAACCTGTCAGTGTCAGAAAGTAACATCCTTCCGTTTCCAATCCAATTCCACTCGATTTGGTTTAGTTTGGTTGAAGTTATGGCATATCAACCAAATTGGTTAGTTAATGCCAATAAAATTTTCATACCTAGTAATATCTTTTTATTCAAAAATGAATTTCTGGTAATATTTTTTAATGTATTGCTGGTAATATCTTCTTTCCACAAATGTATCGCTGGTAATATTTTTTCTTTAAAAATCCAGTGCTGGTAATTTTTTCTTCAAAAATCTATTGCTGGTAATATTTTCCTTTCAAAAATATATTGCTGGTAATATTTTTTCTTTAAAAATCCAGTAATTTTTTTCTTCAAAAATGTATTGCTGGTAATATTTTTTAATATATTGCTGGTAATATTTTTTAATATATTGCTGGTAATATTTTCTTTTTAAAAATATATTGCGGGTAATATTTTTTTTCTTTAAAAATTTAGGGCTGGTAATTTTTTTTTTCTTCAAAAATGTATTGCTGGTAATATTTTTTAATGTATTGCTGGTAATATTTTCTTTTCAAAAATGTTTTGCTGGTAATATTTTTTCTTCAAAAATGTATTGCTGGCAATACTTTTTTCTTTAAAAATTTAGTGCTGGTAATATTTTCTTTTCAAAAATGCATTTCTGGTAATATTTTTCTTGCTTGTAATTATTTCTTCAAAAATATATTGCTGGCAATATTTTTTCCGAAATGCATAGCTAGTAATATTTGTTTTCCGCAAATGTATCGCTGGTAATAATTTTTTTCTTCAAACATTGATTGCTGGTATTTTTTTTACAAAAACCTATCGTTGGTATTAAAACCCATTTTTACACTTTCATAATGTTTTGACCCTATTTTGGGGGTTAACTATTTGCCCATAGCTGGAACCCTTACAGATGCTACCACTCCAGGTCTGGGTGGACCTGGGAACACCAGCAGTTAAGAAGTGGTCCACTCTCCTCAAAACCTGTTCAGAGGCCTTGATGTTTGATGTAGTTTATCGTCATACCCAGGACACGGATCTATATTTTCGTATACCCAGTATGGCAATCGTTTAAGTTAAGCAAAGTTCTAACCATTACGTCACTATTGGTAATTTCGAGACAGCTTACGAATTCTATTTCTCTATTCGTAGCTGGACTTGTGTCAGATTAAGTTTATATTAATATATACCTGCACATTTTCTGTTCGTGTTTACGTACAACTGTTCTCTGACGTTTTTGTTTTTTCGCATTTCTTTTCTGTTACTGCTCTCTCTCTCTCTCTCTCTCTCTCTCTCTCTTCTCTCTTTCATCGCATTTTTGATTTCCTGTTTGCTCATTAGTGATGATAAAAAAAAAACACTAAGTACGTTAATCGGACACAGTCCCGGGTTGAACGGAAGGTAATATACACAAATATAATTCTTATATAAAACCATTTAAAAAAATCTTTTAACATCAAAAAGAAGTTTCTTCAGAACGCGAAATTATTGATCAGAAATCACAATGGACAAGTGTATGAAAGTAAATATAGACAGACCTTGAAGGCTTTTTTGCGCCACAAATTATAAGCCCCAACGTTGTAAACATTCAAGAAAGACACTTAACTAATTTTTTTTCCTTGTCGATCAAATACAATAAATCCAGACTTGTAATTAGATTTTTTTCGGTAGTGTACAGAGCTTCGACCTGATGTCCTATTTTCGGCATTATTTTTTTTTTTTTTTGGTCTAGGATTTTATAATTATAGCATCGGAGTCCTGGATTAATTAAAGAAAATTTCATTGAGTATTTCAAAAATACACCTGCGTCATTTTCACTTCAGAAATAAGTTCTGTTCAAATATTTTCTCTCACATTTTCTTGCACACTTTTGGTTTTTATAGAATGACTTCCAGTTTCTTACTATCCTGCCAAATAGCAAATTTCCAAGCGTAGCTTAGATGTGGCACAAGGCTGAAAGTATGGGGCACCAAGTGAGGATCGAACTCAGTACTACGTCGTAAACTATCCTAACAGGGCCAGCTTGCTAACCATTACACCACCTTGAGGTGCCCCACTATACTGTCAAATATGTGTGTTCGTCTTTTAGGTTTTTCGCATGTGCGCACGTTTAGAGGCCAAGATTTACTGCATAGAAAATACAATTGTGGCACAAGGCCGGAAATGGGATGGAATGGTTTAGGACTGGTCGTCACTTACTATCTTATACCTAGCAAATCCTATTTACGGCCCATTCATTCGTTACAATTTGCACATTTGAAAAAGCTATTGAAAAGGTTGTCAGTTTTAAGGAAAGAAAGTCACAGCACAAAGAATTCATCAATCACCATTCAGTTCTCCATATAACATAATACCGCATACACTCACTGAACCTAAGAAACACACCCCATGTCATGAATATGTTATGAGCATTAAATTCTTGAAATTTGTAAATGATACGTAGTGAGAGGGTGAGGAGATGAACCCCAAAATAACTAAAATATCAAAAAAAAAAAAAATGCACAAAATAAAAAGAACTGATATTAGTAAGAAACGTCAAACCCTTAAAAGATTAAAGAGAGGCAGCTTTATTCTGTCAAAAGACAAAATCAAGAGGCTCTCTTCTCACATTGAAAGCGCCTGTCTCGACTGAGAAAAGCACTGGCTATATATACCTCTCCCAGTACCAGACCCATGCTCACTATTGGCTGATACCAGTACCGTTCATATGCAAACAGTCAGGACCACTTACTCTAAGTAGAAGGTCTTCTCTCAACAGCCTATTGTGGAAGAGGATGTAACTTCTGGTTCTTACAGCACCTCATATCGCCAACAACCCGTAGTCTTTTATCGGGCTGACCCGATTTTTTTTTTTTGAAGCAATTCACCCCAAGCAAGGCAGGAGTGCCACTAGCACACAAGGGGTTACAGAGGATTGAGAACAAGAGCAAAGAGGCATGTTTGGGGAAAGGATACAGAGATGGACGGGGAACAAGCTCAGGGTGTCAGATGTCGATTGACATTACACTTGACTATTTGTAGATTATTGTCATCGGGGAAGCAAGTAAGTAGAAGGGGAGTGCCACAGACGGGAAGTGGGAGAGCTATTGCTGGTCAATCGTGTCTGTTTCGATTGACCTGGTAGAATCATTTTTGCACAAGGTAGCCGTTTCTTTCTGTGGTAGTCTAGTTGCCAACCAAGGCTATGGGACTCGGCCGGTCCTGTAAGCCAACGCATACCTTTAGGAATAGGAGGTGGAATCATTTTTTCAAGTCTATTTGCGCATTGGTGAATGTAACGAACCTGACTGGAATTCGAACTCCTCTCTCCGATTTTTCTTTCAGAATCGTTTTCTATTATAGATCGAACCAAGACAAGAACGGCAGAGGAAAAACAATGTATAACCTACCTAACAAGCTTAAATAAATGGTTAACGGAATAAGGTTTTAAAAGGATGACACAATTTATTAAAAAGCTACAAAAGACAGGAACTTGTGGAGAGCTATAATATTCAAGGTTTAATTTACTGATTTGGTTGACTTATCAACTTATTATGATTCTTATTTCAAGACAAAATAAATTGTTCATTGTAATCATTTTCTTTTAAAGATTTAAGAACACACAATTTACTATTGT